AAACAGACAACGATTCGTAAGCGGGACTACCGTTGACTCGATCCGTAAATTAAATTGAATTATAGATAAATTCGCAGCTAGAATCTTTTAGACTTCATCTCTTAATGGAATATGCTGAGTAATCATTGATGTATAGATATTTTCTGTGCTTTTCTCGTTTCTTGAAAAATCATATCATTAAATATAGCGAACCAGGTCGTATTTCAATCACCGATTCTCCTTTTTGCGATTTACCGTGTTGTCGAACGAAAACCCGTGCAGAAGATAAAAACTGCGTTTATCGTAAGGATCGAACAACTCGGTAACAGGCGCGTATTCGCGATAAAATCGAGATCGGCAATGGTCCGGGGCAGAACGCGTGGACCGATTGTGTGTTTCACGGGATCGCAGTCAGCCGTGGCAGCAGATGTTTCAAGATTCTTAAATCGTTTCCATCGTCGCGGTGCGGTGGTTTGGGCCGGCGCACGAGAGATAGGGTCCCGCCTCATCCCTTGGCGGCCCGGCCGTTCGAGCGGAATCGCCGGGGACGGTTTGTTCGACGCGCGATTCTTCGCCACGCAGAGGCCTGGCTCGCTTCTTACGCCGCGCTCCCAGTATTTAACCCACACGATAAATTAAGCCGGACCCTCTTTCCGGCCCGCTCGAGCGAAAGTATTTAAACTCAAAACAAGCAGAACGTCGCCGATCCAAAACCAGAAACGCTTGCCTTGAATTAATCACTGGGCGGTGTTACCTGTGCGCGATTCACACGCTTACGCTTACTCGCGTCCGATTGGGCCATGAGATTGTTTCCAAATTCATCTATTACCAAATTAGCATACTATAAATGACCATGTTAATCGATATCAAAGTCAATGATACTATTAGCTATCAGTAACAAGCCCAGCGGTTTTTTCATTAGTATAATTGACAAATCGATTTTCGATCGGATATTGGTAAACGGCATTTGCTTTTTATGCGTATAGACCATTACGTATGTAATGGATTCTCGGCTGAACAATGGCGACTACAAAGTGGATATTTCCACGAATTTAATTACCAAAGAAATAAAAATATCTGTAACGAACGGTGCATTAAAGACATTTCGATCGGCACGACGCGACGGTCATGAGTCTGATTATGCAAAAGGGCAGCAGTCGCGTAAGTCATAAACACAAAGTTGCGGGACACGTAATTATTATGTTCTATTTTTACCGATGCTTCTTCGTTGTCAACCGAAATACATATTCTCGCAGAGGTCCAGTTAGCCTTTGTGAACGCAAACGTGACAGCTGTTGTCTGCGACGTGAAACCACTTCGCGATTCGTTAATTATTTAACAGAATAAATAATTACGTCGGGGATCTCGGGCATGAAAATGATAGCGGTTGTTCAGAACAGAATTGACATGAGACGTCAAGTTGAAAATTGGAATTTTCTATGTAACTAATATAAAAAGACCATAAATTTGAAGTTAGTTTAGTTTAATTCAAGCTTTTCAAGGAGAGCTTTATCTAGATTTTCAGCTGTTACAAGAACAAAAGCACACAGAGTTTAATGCACTTAAAAGTTGAAAAGGAATGCCAGAAATCGTCCGAAAAAAATTGTTGCAGCTTGCAATTTCGACACCGCGCTACATCGGCACGAGTAACTGAAGGAAATGAGTGAAAAGAAGCGCGAACGCAGAGGAGAAATCGTGCTTCTCCTCGGCGGTATTACAGAAGAAGACGATAACGGGCGTGCATTTTACAGGAGCGAGCCACGTATCACGTGCATCGGATGAAACGGGGATAGAGGAAGGGCCAAGGATAGGGGAACAAGCCCCGTGTAAAATTCAGAACGCGGAAACTCGTACGCTCCTATAAAATTGTAAAATAATTTTCAACGTAAACCCCCGCGAAACGTGGGGCGTGCGAACGCAGCCCGCCTCCGCGCCGCAGCTTTAAATCCGGCAACGCTTCCCGAAATAATTGAAGCCCGCCCGCCACGCCTACGCGACGCAATCTCGTTACGATTTTATTACGGCTTACGCTCCGATTTTATCTGGTTCGAACGATTACGCGAACCAGAAGATCCCTCTGTTTTTTCGAGGCGATGCCACCTATATTTTTTTCGCGCTCCCCTTTCTTCCCTCTTCGTTTTCTTGTTTTATGCAATCGCGAACGATTCGATCGGTCGCTTTACGACGCGAGTCGTGTGTTTTCGGCAAAACGATACCCAACAGAAACGAGTACCGTTACACTTTCTACGCCTTTTCAGATTATTCAACACGATCGCAACAAAGTTGGTGCGAATACGTGTAACAGTAGTATGCACACTCGTCAGGAAGGTGGTAAGCAGCGCTCCGTTGGATACACGCGAGACAAGAGGTTGGCTCGATTTAATTAAAAAGTAATAAGCTCGCGGCGTGCACGTTTATCGATGCATCCCTCGTCGAACGCACGACAGACTTTGTTTTCTTTTAATTTCACCCAGTTTCGAGCCTGGGAACGCAATAATAATGTCTCGTTAAACTTTTCCCCCCCGATAGGGGACATTTTATGGTTCCGGTTATCTGTGGCTGAAGTTGCGGAACGAAAAGAGAGTCCGGCCAACTTCCTACGGTTCGAGCAAAAGAGATAATGCACGATCCAAGGGGAAGTGGTTGGTTGGCTGGCTTGTTCCGCAAACGCGATAAATTTCGCAAGTATTATTTTACCGCGATATCATACGCGATATCTCTCGCTTCCATCGCGCCCAGATGACCCTTCCTTCCCCTTCTCAACGACCCTTCTTACCCTTCGACGCAAAAAAAGAAAACGCTGATTGAATGGTCGAGTTATTGAAGATGCGTTCAGGAAATTGTTCCCTAATCTCGTTAATTATGTCTGTTAATTGGAATTGAAGAGGGGAACGTGACGTTTCATAAATTTCCACAACGGGAAATCGTCGATCGGAAACTCAATGGTGCACGTGCGTTTAAACGTTTTCACTTAATTACACGATTCGTTCGCGGTACCGATCCATGGCAAGCGTTTAACGCCAATTTTATGCACCGATGAGGTGAAACTCGATTCTGGTTTGCAACTTCCACGGCGTTTCGCGTGCTTAAACTGTTGCTTGTCTCACAAGCAAACGAATGTATTAATTAGGGCTATGCTTAATCAAGAAACGTATTTAAAAGTAATGTAATGGATAAAATATATAAACAGATGAAAGTGTTATATCCATATCAAATAATCTATTATTTCTCAAACTGAATTGCATAATTCGCTCGAAATCTGCGAACGAAACAATCGATGTCTGATTCGTTAAACGATTTCACGATTCACGCAAACGAAAACTAATTATTGTTCATAACGAAGCTTCGTGGAGAGACAACGAGGCTGGTTAAATCGGTCCGGCAAGCCGGCCTGTCATCGACTCATAAACGCGGAAATGATTTCGTCGCCAGGATGGGGGACGAAACGCGCGGAATAAATTCGAAAGGCCAAACGCGATAACAAATTTGCACGGTGCGACGTTTTTAATTTGCCCGATCGTCATTAATTAATTTGTTCACAGTACCATGCTGATTCTCCCATCTTCATCCATCTCCTCTCTCTCTCTCTATCTCCCTCTTCCTCTCTCTATCGTTTCCAGCGTAGCAATCTTCAAAACCGTTCGCATTCGTGAAACGCCGTTTCCTTTTTTTTTACTCCTGTTTGGATGGTCGCGAATAGTCATTCCGTCGAATGACAAGAGATTCCTGAGGACGATTACGCGGCCAAACAACCGACTCGCGCGCCGCGGCAACGTGCAACAGTTAATGAGGCCAGACCGCCCTGCAAGCGAAACTCCTTTTTAGCTTAGAAGCCTCCACCCGCGGAGTTACTTGGGACTGCTTTCTCGTATGCAAGAATCTGTGACCGGCCTCACGAACACTGTTGTAAATAGTTATCCGAAATGACAGTTGATATTCACCCGTCTCATTGTCAAGGAACCTCCTTGCGAGACGAGCTAGCTCCCTCCTGCCCCGTTCAGCGTTGGATCGGGGATCGTTTGGTGACGGTTCGCGGAACGCACCGAGACATGGTACACGTTGAATCCGAGGGAACTCGTCAGCAGGAAACCAGCCGCGATGGGAGGGGCGCCGGTGGTCGAAACACGGAAAAGAGAGGAAGGTGGGCCGGTCCGTTGGCAGGAGGGAATATACAAATGTGGATTTGGCGGATCGCATCTTCGAGTTTGTCTTCTGTCTCTCGCGAACTCCTCTCTTTTACCCGTGAGCTTTGCCTCTCTTCTCGAGCGATCCCCTTCTCCCTTCCCCGTTGCATTTCGATCGAGAAACCACCGGTTTCTTATTATTCCCCCGCCATGCGCCATTGTGCGCGCCGGACAAAGCGCCACGGAACCGACCCTTGCCTTATCCGCCCGAGATATTCGGCAATATCCGAACGAACGCTCGACCGGAGAGATAGCATGAAAAGAGACAAGGCTCGGGAAGGAGTCAGTATTAAAAGTAGAAAAAAGGAGTAGTAGGCCATAGGCACGCGGCTGAACTACGATGCCACCGCTGATAATCTGCCCTGAGAATGCGACGCAATTAATGGAGCTGGTTGTAATTGCTGTTAATGAGGGGGCCACGATGATGGTTCTTTGCTCCTTGACAACTTTACGATCGCATTCAGTTTATCTTGACCAAAAAAATCTTTTCACTATAATTTTGCGACAGGTTGAACATAATGAAATATCGCTGATAACACAGCGCGTTATATAAATTTGTAAAAAAAATATGAATGATAATAACTTTAATCTTTTATTCATAAACGTTTAATTAGATAATTCTCGTAAAGGGAATTATTTCTCGCGTGAGTTGAAGCTAGTATATAAATTCGGGAATAATGTTTTCACTGAGAGAATTCGGAGCAGCTTGCCACATTAAGTTCTCAGATAAATTTAGTAAACCCAGCGGCACGTAACGATACAGCAATCATAATATAATAATATGTATACGGATGCTGTCTGCACTGGAATCTAGCATTAATGACAGGAGATGCCTACCTCCAACGACCTCAGGCCTCCCGCTATCTTCGGCATTCGTGGTCGGGATCCCTTTTGATTAACGTCATCGTCTCACCGTGGGCTCTGAAACAAGAATCAGAAGTCGAACTCTTGCGCTTCTTACAACACTTGAATTCTACTTTTTCGGCTAATCTGACTACTCGAGTTATCCTTAAAAAATTGTAGGATATAATATGACTCGTGTACCGCCAACACAGCCATGACCAAATAAACTGTTTTCAATAATTGTTAGACTTTTTATCCATATTCATACAGAAATTAAAGTACTCTACATTTGCAACGATCATTTATCAAAGGATGCAATCTTATAATGAAAATATTGTGAACACATCGTGTTTCGCTGTTTTAACTAGATTTAGATCAAATAAACTATGTTCTCAGATACTTTACAAATTTTGTTGTGTAAGCGGTACACGGTAAAATCCAGCGTTCCCGTGTCATATTAATGTTCCCTCGTTTACCAATATATCATCGACGGCCGTCGATCAAATCGTCTCTTGGCAACATCATTTATCTAAAGACCTTCTAGCGCTCGAGTAGGCAAGACCGGTGCGTTCGCCGCTCCGTTGAATTGGTCAGGAGAAGGTTTGATACACCCTACAGCGACATCCGGTGATTAAAATCATTAATCGTCAGTATAAATTTAAAGACTCCGTGAGAGAACATAGAAACAACATCGTAATGGAACTAATAATGCATAAAAAATGGATATGAACTTAGGAGATCGCATCGTTTCTCAATTCGTAGCTTGATCATTTATAAAACGAAAGCGTACCACAACACGATAGAATTATTTGAATTTAATAAATTACCTCGCAAACGGATTCAGGGATTTCCTGTTTCAAACACGTATCTCATCGTATAAAGTTTTGCGAGTATGGACATCAACAATCACGTAACCCTAATCTTTGTCCATAATAACTAGCCATTAAAATAAAACACTTATGGCAGTCAGTTGAAAAAGACTATTTTCAATGGATATTTATTTTATCATTTTAGCATTGCAATATGCATTTACTTGATAGTTTGCATGTACCGTGTTTCCATTTTCTGCACATTCGCTTCTTCGATCAATACGTAAAATCCGCAATCTGGTAATAAGTCTTGAATCCCCCGGTTTGGTTCCCTTCATTTCTAGGTTCTCTCGCCGTTCGTTTCTCTTTCTCTTTCTATCCACCCGTGTTGGCCTCTCGTGCCTCTCTGGAGGTCCGAGGAAACCTGCCCCACTGGTCCACTAGCCGTTGCTTCGAGGTCCTGGACTCCACTGTGCTCATCTACCGTTTACACGGCCAACACACTGTTCCGTTCCCTTGCTGGGCTTGTTGCCCCGATACTATCAGTCGAACACACGTGGACACGTTTTGTCTTCTAATGATCGAAATAGAAATTATCCCGGCCCGCCACCGAGCCGAGGGTCGATGCAGTATCGTCGTGACCGCTGTTGCTCGGACGGAACATCGTGCCCCTTGTAAAATCGGCTTTAATGTCTCTGCTATATTCCGGCCACTTTGCGACTGTTCCGATCACCGTCCTTGGCAGATTGTCTCGCCACCGAAAGCGACTCGTCCAAGGTATCTGGATGAATTTGTATTTATCCTCATAATTTGGGTGTGTGGTGAATTGTCAAATTCTATGTCTACCCTCCCTTTCTTTTCATTTAATGTTATATTTTGGGTAGAATAATAACAAATACACTGACACAGAAAACGCACGTGTCAAGCCACGTATATAAACCTTGCAACGATTTAGTGGCTCGTATCATCTCTGTGCGTACAACAGCATGGATTTTGCGTATGGTTGTCGTTAAAACAAAGCAAATCACTGGTACCAAAGGGTGCTGTAGGTAGCAGCGTGTGCGCGCGTGCCGGCAAGCGTCGAGAGAAAACGGCGGCGTCGGGACGCTAAGTGGCGCAGCGACGCGACGTTAACACACGTGCGGTACACAACGCGACGCGGATAGAAACAGAAGTCGTTTGAATGGTATTCATTTGTGAAACAAGTGGCATCGCGGCGCGTATGAAAAAGAGCAGGGAATAGAGAGGAAGAGAGTCGGCGTAAATACGAAACAGACGCGCTCGGCCACGTGTACCACTTAGCTGCTCGTAGAGGAAACGATTTACCGCGCGTGGCCTCGAGATGGGAAAAAAGGCTGGACAGATGGAAGTGGAAAACAATTTTCATACTTCTCCGATCGTTTCCGCTTGATTTACCTCCACTAAGCCATCTTGTAAATAATCGTGAAACGTGAAATGAACGCGATATAGCATCTCGTTGAACGAGAATTTTAAACAGTCACTCTTTTTCTTTTCTTTCCCCTGCTGCTTCCCTTTCCTGTTCGCTATTGCTGGTAGCCAGTTCAACTTCGATTTTATACAGCAGGACGTAAATCGTAGGCTTTGCTTCATCGCCGGGGGCGGATGCAAACGATCCTATGGCAATCTCGGAGACAGTAAAGTAAGAGGAAGGCGGGCAAGAAAGGGGTGGAAAAAAAGGTCAAAGTAGAGAACTGTCGTAAATCCGGCGCGGACTAGTCAAGCACGCGTGCCACTCTTCGCTCGCCCGTATCGGAAGCAATTTACAAACGCGTCTCCGCCACGTGGCAGGCAGTAGGCTCGTTTCTACGCGTTTCGTCGTACGTACCCTCTGCCGCATCGGGATTGTCCCTCTCCGTCGTCGCTATTTTTCGCTGTAGCTTCGCGCACCATAAATAACGGCTGTAATTCGCCACCCTGGTCGAGCACGCCGTTCGTGTCCTCTGCACTCTACTTTGTCTTTTAATGCCTTCCGCTGCGACCATAGATTATGATTTTGATATATAACTCAAGGAGGGGCAGAAACTTGAGAGGTGAAGAGGATCAAACTACATCGTGGTACCCCATTCAACTACTCTGACTCGTTAAAAATCGCAGAAAGAGTGTCTTTATACGTAAAATTATGGGTAGACGGATTTTATACATTTATAGAGAAGTTGATATTCAGAAAATGTATATAATGTGCAATTATATGTGCATATATAATATATAAAGAAGACATTAGTTTTAGAAAATAAAAGAAATCTTAATGTATATTTTTTCATTTTTTTAATTGATACCATAAACATCTTATTTTGCATAAAAATCTACTACCTAGTGATGAGTTATTTTGTACGAGATAAAAAGAAATCCATGAAATATAAACTTCAGGCGATCTCCGTTTCTAACGACATACTTTGCACTTACATATTACCTTCACATCTCTCGCCAGTAGAATAATCATTGATCTCTGTAAAACAGCAGTATAATCACCACGAACGTTTTACAGCGGTCACTTTAAGTAAATTGATCGCATGAAATTACGCGATTCGCTTCGCGAGTCAATCGATTAATTAAATCGCGCCGGAATCTCTGTGTATTATGGCGATCGCGAGATAAAGCCGCGCGATTAATCTGCCTTCGCGCATGAGACATTTATTACTGAAACCATCCCACACCCTGCCCCACCCCTCTGCATCCCTGAATACGCGATTATTTATCGTAACTGTGATTCTCGATTCTTTATTGTCATAACATTTGTTCCCCGTGAAATTTCAATAAACACGAAATGCGAATTCGGACAGGGTTGTTTGTCGTTCATCCTTCCTCCGCATCTTATTTTCTGCGATACAAACGCGTAGCACATTTCATTCCTTTCATTGTCTATAAAACGTTCATAAGTTGTTAAAGAATAAAATGTAACTAAATTCCTCTGAAACTCGTTATTGACATCAATACGACGTAACACGATTGAGTATCTCGAAACGCACGCGGTTAAGCCGTCTTAAGCATGCTTGTGATTCTAGCTCACTCGAAAAATCCAAAGTGCGATTCGAACGGCTATTGGGCAAAAGATCGATCCGATTCCGCAAACATATTAATAAATTTTTGCGCACCAGATTGTTTTCCGAGCATTTTAAAACTTGATGATGGAGCATACAGATTTCCGTTAACCAATATTGTTGTCTCTCCGATATTGTTGGAAAATAACAATAGCAATACGAGTACGTATTGGCGAACGTAGCTTTTTCATTTTGTTAACCGCTCTCGAGATGATAAATAGCAACAATGAACAAGTATAAAAGGCCATTTTTAACAATAACTTTTTCACTTCACACTTTTCACTTTTTGCACGCATTGCAAATTAATTACAAAAGTATTTCGTAATCTCGTTAATCGTTTTTCCTGTATCATTTTATTAAATAAAAGAGAATCGTTGTAACGCTCTTTTTCGAGAATGTTACGTGCATGCGTGATTTAAATGCTAATGGATCTTTGGTTGTTGAAATGGGACTGTGAAAAATGGGGCAAATTCGAGCGCTTAAGGCTTAAGAAATGAAAAAGGCAGATGTGGGACCACCATAAACAAACAGAGCACGAAGCAAAGAGCGTGCACGAAACAAGCTGTTCCGAGAACCGAGTTATAATTAAAACGCAGAATCACCCTCGTAGAATAAACTTTGTTTTTAAAATGTACGTATACGTGCATACATAGCCACGTGTGTGCACAAATAACAATTAAAAGTTAGCGGTACATCGCTCCATAATGTTTGTGAAAAACTAAGTCGCCGTGAAAGCAAATGGCAAAACTGTTTAGCAAGCATGAAATTGAAAAGGCAACGTTTTTCGATGCCGTGGCCGCGCCCCGCCGCTACGCGTCACCCCTTTTGAAAACGATCCTTTTATTCACCGATCAGCGACGCGCGAACAAATCGTTTGCAAAAGCTCCTCGAATCGTTTTCACGATGACAGCTCGTGCGAGCACGCGCATGTCGCACGTGCGCTCGTCATTCAAGCGCGATGCAGCGTGCGTAAGTTCCGCATCCAGGACAAAATGCACTAGCGTTTGCGCGTCGCCGGAATTGAAAACCGCCATAACTAAGCAGTTCGCGGAATCAAAATAATTCAGTAATTGATCTAATAATAATAATCATATTATACTTCTAATTACTCTCAAATCAAGCAAATCAATTGAAAAATTCTGAAACATGTTAGCATCCGATGTTCTTGATTTTCGATACAAGAATTTCAATTAAAATTTTCATAGCGTAAATACATCCCGTTCAATGTACTATTTTATTATTGTGATATTATTGTGAATTATTGTCGCGATTGGTTGCTCAATGATTTCACATATTGGATTGATGAATAAATCTGTCCATCAACGTAGCTAGTTTTAATTTCCGGTAAGCCATAAATGAAACAGAACAGAAATCCATAAACCTTATATGAAGACCTATATGTAGGCTATAAATTTCGTTTCCGTTGTTTGATTAAATAATCAATATCTGTAGCTTGTGTTAACAGCGACCATACATTATTCCACGACAATAACTTCAGTGAATGTAGAATTCATTCATCTAAAGATCTAAATGGATACGAAAAAAGTGGAATTTATTAAACTATACTTTCCATAATACTTTATCGCTCCTTACTTTTACTGATTAATAAAATGAAGTACGTGATGAAAGGACTGTGGATTCTATGCATTCATAGAAAAATTCAATCTATAAAAATGATAGAAACTGGAGTTAATATGCAAAAACATAGAACATTAAAAATGAAATACATGTTACTGTTTCTAAAGGATAAAAGAAATTCTTATCTAGATTGTATTCCATGAAAATCTGCAGTCTAGCGATAAATTAAGTATTAAAATATCAAGGACGATCTACAGATTGAAATTAGTCTAGTGTAAGGAAATTAAATATCGTTAGAATATAAATGTTAGTTAGATGTATGAATTGAACAGAAATGGCCGGGATGAAACGAGAAGCCGGCAGACGGCTCGGAAAATATTTAAAATGGAATAAATCGTAAAAGCGAAGAGAATGGAGGGGCGCGAGCCGGTGGCGCGGCTCGTAAACGTCGCGACTGAAAATGAGTCGGTTTTATTCCTCAGGTATAACTTTCTTTCGCGAGAACAATACAAGTTATCTGATGTCTTCCAAAGAGAAACGTTTCCGCGGCGATGATAATGATCATGCATAAATACGGATCATAATTCCACGGTCCTCGTAACAGTGTACACATTACATGCCTGCGTGAGATCGCTGTGATTGACGAATCTTCTAATTATCTCGGTTCTGCCAATTATCTTTATAAAATTACATCGAATATAAAATAGTTTGATAAATTAATTTTCTTCTGTTTTTATCAAATGTTACTTATATTTTGTTCCATTTTTCTATAAATAACTTGATTACATAATTGGATGAATAGAACAGTTTTGTTTAGGAAAGCGATTTCCCATCGACAATGGTAATTTGAAATTAAGCCTCTGAGAAGTTATATTCAGGATTAGTGGCGACAGAGGGGAGGTTCGAAGAGATTTCATTTTTCATTAGTAGGCAAGAGAATCCGTGCTCAACAATTGAGTCGCATTTTCGAACATCAACGAGGGAGATGATTTCTCAACCTCAGAAATTTATTAGAAAATCAGAATTTTTAGCGCCGCAATTTTTCGGCGGCAGCTGGGTAATAAACTTCGCGTAACCTACTAATCGTATAACTAGGCATATTAATCGAAGTCGGCGGATCGATTGCGAAACCGCATTGCGGGACGCGGTGAAATTGCGGTGTTTTCAATTGATTCGGTACATGATAAATCAGTAGGTACTTTTACCCAAGTGAGAATTCGCGAAATGGACGCAACACTGCTCCGCAATAGGCGTGAACCGCCACACCATGCGTGTTCAATTCAAATGCATGTGGCAATTTTACAAAAAGTCACGAAACACGCCTACGACGTTTGACTATTCGAGGAGGGCAAAGTGGAATAAGACTCTTTCTGTTCTAACCATTTTGGCCGGATGCGACACTCGAGGCTGCCTTTCCGGTCACTTGCGGCGCAATTCGATGCTCGAGCAGTCACCGAGAGAGAGCTTATATTCCCATCGAACGACCTTTAACCTCGATTCCAGCGACCCACGCGGAACGTTTTGAATCGCTTCCAAC